TGCTCTCTCTCTCTCTCTCTCTCTCTCTCTCTCTCTCTCTCTCTCTGTCTTTCTCTCTCTCTCTCTCTAGCTCTCTCTCTCCCCTCTCTCATTTTCCCTTATATGATCACCTTATACAAGTAGCCGGTCAAGATACTCTACAAAGCACAACCGAGTTACGAACACAATGGTTCTAAAACTTTTGTAAATACATTCTATGCGAATATCCTAGTCCATATTAATTAGAGCTTCCTTTCATTCTCACGATAAACCCTATAATAACCCATATAACTTCTCCCAATAGTCAGCGTACGTATATATACCATATACACACTATACCACACAATCTAGTACCTGCAACATATGGCTAATGCTAGAAAACACCAGCAGATTCATAACATATGTGTGCTATAGTATAATAAATAATACCAACGTTAAAAATTAACCTTTTTGGTATGCTCAACTGGCGAGCGGTGCACGCCGTTGCCTCGAAAATATGTGAATTCACCATGGCCTTCAGCGACGTGATTGGCACTAGAAATTTGACGTTCACGAATTTAATATCTGGTTTATATGAAATTGGAAAACGAAAATTGACGAACTAATCATGGGTGATTGACTCGCATATAGACTGCCTGGTAATGTTGCCCAGGCTGACAGGTTAAAGATATACTTTGTAATTCGCAATAATTATATATCACATAATAACACCAACGTATATCTCTGTGCACCTCTTGGTATGTTCAACTGGAGACCGGTAACCACTCAATCGTTGTACGACGCTGCTTCGAAAACATAATAATTCTCCGTGTCCTCCAGTCTGGCGATTGACACTGAAAATAACTTTGATGCGTATATATATAAATTCGTTGTGTTTATTGTGAGCTTATACAAGGAAAGCGGAGAAAGAATCAAAAGAGACTGACTGACATATAGACTTTACCGTTAATTATACCCAATCGCTTGTATTTAATACTATTATCACGCATCTTTATGCAACTATATAACGCATGAAAGGGTACGAACTTACAATTTAACTCAGTCAGGTATGTGTGTTATCCTGATTATTCCATTTATATGCTGTAATTAAACGAGTGAACGGCATGAATTAAGTATGAAATTATAACAGCTACGGAAGCTTCAGTTGAGGAAGAATTCCTGTATAATTTACTCACGTTAGCTGTAATTATGATACGCATTCGAAGTTCTCACAGCTTTAATATTTGACGACAAAAACACAGAGAAAACATATGGCAGGGACTCTTCGTGCCACGTGTATACTGACCGTGATATATCTCGCGAGAGAGAAGACCGTCACATCGTGACGAAACCCGATGTTAATCAGGTCAACGATTATCCATCTGGCTTATTCCATATGTGCGCACTTTATAATTATTTTTCGCACTAGATGTCGCTAGGATTTTAGGACCCTCAACAGGGTGCGCTCCCCGCCGCTCTTCCTCCATCGAGAAACAGCAGCGTGGTTAGAACTGGTCAAAAGGAGGAAGAGGGGGAGCGAGGGGGAGGGAGAGGGGGAGACAGCGAGCGAGGAAGAGACAGAGAGAAAGAGACAGAGAGGGAGAGGAGGAGCGAGTGAGAGGAGAGAAAGAGAGGGAGCACGAGAGAGGGGGAGAGGGGGACGCGTTCTCTCGTGTATCCGTGGATGCTGCTGCTGCTGCTGATGCTGATGCCACTACTACTACTGTTGCTGCTGCTGCTGCTGCCTGCTGCGTTCATTTGAGGATGCGGAGGCTGACTTAAGATGATGTTAGTGATAGCATGCCATCACGAAGTACCCGCGCGAGACTCGGATGGGATGGTTCGAGTCGTGAGCACGGTAGCGTGTAATGGGCGTCTATGGAGACAGAAAGATAGATGCGACACCAGGACAGTGACTCCGGGAGAGCCATTTCATTGTTCTGTTCCCATCCTAAAGCACAAAACTACAGGGGAATGAATATACCCTCTATCTATCATTCAAATGTATATAGTACCGGGAGGGTAGGTATAGGACCCAGGTAGGTATAGGTAGGTAGGTTGTCTACCGTGTAAAAGTCAATAGCTTTTAGTAATCTAAACATTTTAGTAATCGTTAGGTGTTTATAGCAGTGTAAATTAAATTACTCGGTAACATAACGGGAGACCTCTCATTCGAAGCATCGTCGAAATAGCAGAACTATTTGTTAAAATTATAGGTTAACAAGTGCCGCAGAGCGACACCGCTCATCTAACGTCTACTGCGGTGACTCTGTGGTGGAGTGGTGGGATTCT